TGTACACTAGCAAAAACGAAGAAAAAGAGGAAAGTTGTAAAAGTAAACCGGATAGGCACCAGTAAGTCTTTAGTAAATACCAAAAAGGCAAAACAAGGCAGACTAAGACATCTTTGTTTTGGTCGTCATAAGCTAAACAAATAAAATACTTGATAAGGATTGAACATAAACAAGAATTGTGGTCACACTGGAGGGTGATTTAATAAATGATCTTCAAAATATTACAAATAGGACACTGTAATGTACAGATCTGAAACGTCAATATTTAAATTTAAATCCATTTTTAGCAAAAAGATGATCGATCAACACGTAGTCAGAGAAAGAATTATAATCAAAGCAGAAGGATGCGTTCTGACTATTCTGTAAGAGATAAGAACACAAACAAACAAAGAGGGGTAGTGAATGGCACGGCACAATAATATTGCGAAAGCAATTGCAATTCTAACGACTGACACTGAGGTAAATCGGATACTAAAACCGTAATTAATATTCAATAAGCATCACTAATTAAATTTACGTTAACTAACAAAGGCAAAATTTTGACTCGACCGCGGTCTACTCGTAAATCGTAAATGATACAAATTCGAGGGCCACCATGGGGATCTCGGAAACTGTCAGAGCTAGGTAGGTAGTTTAAATTCGGCAAAGTTGCGTATTTTGATGCTTAGCAAAATTCGAGCGCCACCATGGGGATCTCGCAAACTGTCAGAGGTGTGTAGGTAGTTTAAATTCGGCAAAGTTGCGTATTTTGATGCTTAGCAAAATGGCGTTTTGAAACTGTAAAAATTCCAACTACTGTTCTGAAAAAAGCGAAATTTTGCAAAATCGTTTTTTTTCCGAAATTATTTAAAAAGATATTCCAAAATCAATGACACATTATTACGGCCACTTTATTTTTCCCTCTATACGATGCTAGTTTTAAATTTTATGTCTGACGTTTCGTCTCCGGTTAATCATCACCAACTTTTCAAGTCACTTTTACTTTTTGTGTCATTTGATAGAGCATTTTTTTCTGATTTCAAAAATTTAAATAACACTAGGTATTTGTTGCAACAGGAACAGATCTCGAAGTGCATGTAAACAAATTCCATGTAAGTAGGTCACCAGGATAATGTTGGTAGAATCATACGTTTCGTTTCACTGAAATGGTGGTGGAATCTGCCAGGTAGGTAATCTAGAAATTCATCTGTAGCGAGATGTTCGCCAATAGCAATCCTAATAAGATGATGAATCCAGGTAAAAGGCGATGTTATTCTCGTGCTGCGTAAAGGTAATATCTAGGGAGATACAACGTAAAAGGTAATCAAAGAGACAAAACGATGAGAACTTGAGGGAAAATTCAGAAGCGTTGAGGTTGAGGGACTTGAGGGAAGATAAATCCCTAACAAAATACGTATAGGAAAATGCTGAATCATAAATCTACGTATCTTGTACTGATTATGTGCAAATATCAATCCGCATAGATATAGCTATTCAATGGAGCACAGCCACAAGACATCAGAAAGAGAAACCACTTATGAAATAATATGTAAAGCAAAAGTACACAAAAATCGAACATGTAATTAATTTTTCTGAAACTCCTTTCGAAACAACTACTTTCGTCTCCAAAAAGGATGAAGAAAATGTGATTTTCCTCTCTAGTGAGGAAAGTAAAAACCAATTACTGCGTTAATCTTAATCATGACATTTAAAATTTAAACATACCCCTATCTATATAGATTGCTGTGTGTCAAACTTCGTTATTGCATACGATAATTTTTCAATTTTGATTGTATTTTCAGAAAAAGTTATATGTAAAACGTGAGAAGAAAGTGTTTGTCTACTCTCGTTGCGCTATACTATTTACTCAAGAGATAACATTTAGAATTTGGCGTATGATGGCTGCGGCTGGCAATGACGATATTTTTATAAAGCATTCGTTTTTACTCCGTAAAGTTGGTTCCAAAAATTTTATCGATATTTTATTATATCCATATCAAACATAGGTACAATGTCGACTCTTTTAACATTTGGCTGCAAAAAGAAATTCTTGATTCTTCGGAAAAATTTTGCAGTAAATTTTTTTAATTTATGTCATTGAATTTGATGAACAAGCGCCATACCATCAATAACTTACATTTTTGGAGCATTAAACCTACAACGTTTTGTCAATTATTGATTTCTTTCGCATAGTCGCATACACACATTTGTATTTGATTTTTTTAATTAAATCGCATTGCAGAACCGATGACTTGTAATTTCAAAAATCTAACTTGTATAAAGGTAAAACAACAAGTTTTCCGTTGCATGTCATTACTGGAATAATTTCACATACCAACCTAAATATTTAAATGGGATGTGTTGTTATAAGTTAAAAACAGTTTATTTGAAATTATACGGTTGGTACAGAAATGCGACGTTGGCGCGACTCTGTACTATGCATTTAAGGTTATGTTGCTATCTGTCACCCATTCTGTCACCTTGCGTGTGCTTCGAATCGTCTAGTTTATCGTAGTTTCGTGCTTTTTATCAAGCTTCTCAATTCCACAAACCAAACTGTTCTTTTCAGAACAACTTTTTGTCGTACTGTGAAGCGTTATTTATTACGATGACGAAGAATTTGGGTAGCACTGCTAAAAAAATGGTAGCATCTTTAATTCTGTATTTTGAACAAGAGCGTGACCATGGAGGCCCCTTGTTACCTTTGCAGGCAGTAAGAGAGGTAACAAAAGCATAATTTTTACGTTAGGTACCTATTCTACTAAGTATAATTATCGTAGAGAGTGGCACAAGCTTTAAGTATCAGTATCTCCACGGTCAGTACCATATCAGCGGCAGTGAAGAAGAATGAAGTGTTGACGTCGCCTTTAAAGAATCGTCCTCGCCTTAAACCTGTGACAGATGTATCTAATTTGAACGTCGATGGTATTAGAAACACAATTTATGAAATGTACGAAAACAGTAAGTTGATCACATTTTGTGTAATCAGAGTTGCAGAAGTGCATGTTACATTGGCATCTGTGCATGAACAGCTTCGTGAAAAAGTCATTTTTCATGGTTCATTGGCATCATTGCGAACAGTGCTAAAAGAAATTGGATTTAAATGGAAAAAATACGAGCCCAGGCGAGGTCTAATGGAACTACCCCATGTGGCAAGTAAAAGAATTCGTTTTCTGCGCCAATACAAAGATTTCAAGGAAAAAGATTTGTACCAATTTGTTTTTCTTGATGAAACGTTGATATTCCAAAATGGCACTATACAACATGGCAAGATAGTAATGCAAGAAGTGTGAAAACTATCAAAACTGATGGAAAGCGGTTGGTTTATTATTAATAGCGGTAACAATAATTATACCAAAAAATATGTTACAGACAAATAATTCTGCATGCTGGAAATGAGAAAGGATTCATACCTTCAAGTGGTGATTATCACGGAGAAATGAACCAGACGAATTTCTTACATTGGTTTCAAAATCAATTGCTTCCAAATTTAAGTGAACCGTCTGTCATTAATTTCCAGAATTAAACCAGAAAAAAAATATTTTGTGGACCAATTAGCGGAACAATATGGTCATAAAGTGTTGCGCCTTCCACCCTACCGTTGTATTTTTAACCCTATAGAGTTAAGCGGCACTTATTATAATAAACATATTGGCAGAGATGGGAGAACAGAGGCTGATTGTTTAAATATGTGGCAAGAAGCAATTAATGTCGTGACACCAGATATGTGGAAAAATTCAATCAAACACACTGAAGGTGAAATAATGAAATGGTATGAAAGAGAAAAAATGTTAGATATGCAAGATATACTGCCAATTATAATAAATTTAGGGGAAGACACAGAAGATTCTTGTTAATTTGCAAATTAAGTAATTTGTATTTATTTAATTGTAATATTATAAAATAATTACATAAAAGTGACTTATTACTGCAAAATACTATCCCCTGGCTTTGATGGTCAAGTATGACATGTAAATTGTGAAGCCTTTAAACCATGTAGAAAAGTATTAATGAATTTATCGAAATTGCTGTCGGTACTTAACTTCTCAGTATGTACTTCAAAGTGTTAATCCTTACATAAAGATCCAACATTAAAAAGTCGATCGCCTGTAAGCAATTGATAATCGTTACATTCCTGTACACGTAAATATCTTGTACTTCATGACAACTGAATATAGAGTTAAGATTTGTAACCTATATAGGTTATTTGGTGGGTTTATTTTTGTATAATTTTCTTGTGTTAATGTTTATTTGATTCAAGTTTTGAAGATTGTAGGGATATACTAATTATGAGTAAGTACTGGGTGGGGTACTATAAAAAACGTGTGGTTTTATGGCGGCAATTTAAAGGTAATTTAAGGCACGTAAAAGCGATTCTAAAATTGTTGATACTATATGCTTAGTAGGTCAAATGTGCAAGCAGTAGATACAATGATTTGAAAATAGTTCTATCGTATACTAAATGTTTGTCAACGCTGCATAAGAACGACGTCAGAAAATTAATGACGTGCAACGGAAAACTTATTATTTTACCTATGTCTTTCACTCTTTCGTATAATCTAAAATAATGATCAAAATAGATATACAACATGCATTCGCGCTAGAGGAGGAGGGGGTAAAACAAAATTGAACCAATAGGGTTTCCGGCAACATCCGAATTATTAATCTACCAGCTTTTCTGAACTGGAACTGGAACTGGTCGGATTTTGCATACTCAAGTCCATCCAGCGCCTGCACTAAATTCAAAAACCTTTAAAGTGTTCATTATATCAAGCAATTGTGGGAGAATACAGATGTAATTGAATGCGAAGCAAACGTGAGATTACTCTTGAATGTTCCAAAGGTTATTACACTAATTATACTATTAATAATGCTTAAAGATAAATTACAGCATGAGTTTTTTCCTATAATTAACGAACGAGCGTCAGAATTGGAGCACTTAAATTAAAGATCAGTTTCGTTTGTCACAAAATTAAGCAAATACCAACAATGCGAGTGTAACAAATGGATTCAAAAAGGATTGTGCGTGCCCCTCCAAATCCACATGATAGGTACCTACTTACGACAGAGGTTATCAGTTATATCTATTCAAGGTCAAGAAATGGATGTGTCATAGAACAAATTTTGAAGGGGGAAATGTCAACATATCTCAATATCTCATTACTTTTACGACTTCTATTCAATCCAGTTAGCCTGACCTTTCGCCGGGGCAAGATCAAGTTTGGTGTAGTCCGCAGGGTGCAAAATGGATAAAACTTTAAATACAGAATTGTGAGTACTTGACTGTTATCGCTAAACTATTTTAGTTTTAAATATGCGTTGCCTAATCAGTGTGTTGTGTGGTTATTATAATATTCAATATAGTTACGCAAGGAAACTGACACCGATACTAATATCGCATTGCCCTGCGTTTTTAAATTAGATATATAGGGCGGATGATATTCCCTATCTAGCTAGATGAACAAACCCAAACCTTATTTCATAAGAAAGGTCATATTTTATATACCTACAATTAAAAATTAAATTTGAAATCTATTTTCATCCCAAATTACCTTGAGTTTAAGGTAGAACCAGAGGCTCTGGTAGTACCATTGTTTAAATAACGTATATAAAGAATGGTTGTAGATAGAAAAAGAAAACCTTTCGTATAACTTAATAAAAATTTTCCACTGCTATTTAAAAACGAGATGTTTCAGTCCCACGGCGACTTCGTAGGAAAACTAGTCGATTCTCCGAAGTTGTAGTGTTCGTGTTGTTGAGCGATACTTTCCTGGAAAATGGAAAATATGTCCGATAGGTTTTCTATTAGGATTAGGGCGTTGTGCTCTCGTGCACCAGGGTTTTAACATTTACTAAAAGTTTATTTCACGCGAATCCAATAATGCAATACCACGCAAATGTAACTCGCAATGAAAAATGCACGCAGGACAATAATTTCGTGATAATGGTACTTTCTCTTGTTGTTTAAATCTTTCGTATACCTCAAAATGCAACGCACAACTCAGATAGTATCTCATCGAAAGTTCAGCAAAGAATCCTTCTCTTCCACCCAATTTTTACTTATTTACGTGCCGAGTATGTAAAGGTATAACACTCATTCTCTCGCAGTTTGGTTTCGTTTCTTAGTCATATGGATCTAATAATTGGTATAGGTAAAATTTGGTTTGTGATGTAAGTGAGATCATTACTTTTTAGGGCCGAGGAGAATGACAGAGGAAACAAAGCAATGGGCAAGCTGTCGCTGATTGTTGAAATATGCGTTGTGGTAGTAAGCATAATGTGGACAATACTTGTATCGATTTATCGCTTGTTCATTCCCGTACCGGAAAAGTCCGTTAAAGGAGAAGTAGTGTTGGTATGTACCGGTTACTATTTTTTCTAGAAATAAGGGATGTTTTAAGATTACAGGCGCAGGCCATGGACTTGGAAAGGAACTGGCCCTACTTTACGCATCGGAAGGCGCAACGGTGGTTTGTTTGGATATACACGAAGAAAATAATAAAGAAACGATTGCCACTGTGGCCAAAAAGGGTTATCCTAAAGCGGTTGCTTACACGTATGCACTAATGTAGGGATTATAGATTAATAATTTGGATGTCTAGTTGCGACGTTACTGATTACGCCCAGGTACATACAGTGGTTGACCAAATCCAAAAAGAAGTAGGAGATATCACCATTCTAATCAACAACGCCGGAATAATGCCCACGCGCCCTTTCCTCCAACACACCAAAGAAGAAATCGAACAAATAATGAATGTCAACGTCTTAGGTTACCAATGGGTAATTTTTACAGCATCGCAATTAAATAACAATAAAGAATTTCACAGACAATGAAAGCTGTATTACCTACAATGGTAAAAAATAACTACGGTCACATCGTGGCCATTTCCTCCCTATGTGGAATGCAAGGACTGCCCAATCTCGCCCCATACTGCTGTTCGAAATTTGGAATTCGCGGATTGATGAGTACCCTAAGGGTGGAGCTCGACTTTTATGGAAAATCTCAAATTAAAACTACGACCGTGTTTCCATACATCATAGACACGGGATTAGCGAAAAAACCCAAAGTACGATTTCCTGATCTATTTCCAATTTTGTCGCCGTCTGTGGTGGCAAAGTGCGTAATGACGGCCCAAAGACGAGATGTTTTAGAACGAACTGTTCCGAGAGAGTTTGTTGTCACAGATGCAATTCTTCAGTGAGTGCTACAAATGTCAATGCGCGTGATTTGTTTGTCTCCTTTCAGCTATCTTCCTTACGCGGGGTCGAAGATCTTATGTGATTTTCTAGATATTCGTATAGAGGCTGAGTAACAATATGATCAAAAATCAACAAAAGTACTTACAAAAGTAGCGCTTCTTAAAAAACTGTCACCCAAAATGTTAATTTTAAGCAAAACGCACAATTGCACTAGATTTTCGTCACTTTTAGCTTTTAAAAAATAAAATTTATGAATACTAAGAAGATTTGTATTTCTCTGTAGGTATTATTGATTATTATGAACTATAATGCTAACAGGGAATGGGAGGGTGGGGGGTATTATGTAAATTAGACTTCAATAAGGTATGAGCAACGAAATTTTTATTCAGAGGCCGTGGGAATAGAAATGATACAAGTGTATCGTATCGAGTTTAAAAGTAGTCTGCCCGTCTGCCTATGTGAGTAAGTTGCGCTGGAAATACCCACATAGTAGAGCTTTTGGTTTATTTGTTCTTACAAAATACAGTTCACATAAAACCAAAGGTACCTGGGAAACACAACCACTAGAAACACATAATAAACGTAACTTGTTTAATAATAGAAAACTCTTCTCTCCTTTTACTAAATTTTTTAAGAAATATGTGATCATTTATGAGCATGTCCAAAACTTTTAATATTGAAAGATGAGCAGTTTTAAAGCGACTGTACTTTAAAATTTAACAACTGCTTAATAAAATATAAATGCGTGCATATTTTAGCAATATTGTAGTAATTACTATCTTTCTACTAAAAACTATATAGTCGCTCTAGAGTAATATAATATGTAGAATTTATATTTTCAAAAACCACTAAAGTCCAGGAGTCATTCTCAAAGTTCGATAATATTTAACATTGCAATTTGTCAGCGGCAACCTCTATTGGTTCTCATGAATTGTATGCCGTTCTTAATCAGTTAATATTTAAATTATTCTTTCAGCAGCCGAACACTTTCTTGCCAGTGAAGAAGAGTGACAATTAATTGTTTAAGATTTCAGCGCCGTTAATTAATTATTAAGGATTTTGGATTCCCATAATAAGTCAAAACCAGGAAACGGGTAGTATAAAGATGTAAAAAGACATTCTGCCACCACCATAACTACAGAAATTTTGGTACATAATCATTTATTGTACTTAGTTGATAATAGTCGTTCCAATTAGTGATAACATTTTTCACCTCATCCATTTCAATCAGACATTACATTTTATACATTAACGATTTTTAATAACAAATGAATGCTCAGTATTGTTATTTAATTCGGTAACTCCCCTAAACTGCATGCTGACTCAAATGTATCACTTGAATTGTATTTACACCACCAGGGATCACTTGTGCGGATTCAATTTAACCTGGAAATACTCATAAGCTAGCTGCACAACTTCTGCTGGGCATAACCTGCAAAAAAGTCAATTTGAAGATAAAATATTGGTAATAACATTCAATTTAGGGTCAGTTTTTGTTGTTATCGTAGGATAGGTTATGTATCAGATAGACCTAATGGTAACAAGAAAAATCGACCGTTAAGGAAACCTTTAGTGCGACAGAGATTTGGGTAATCGGGTATTGGATAATTTGAAAAGTAGGGCGTTTTCTTTAACTTTTTGGAATAGACAGTTACTGCGTGGAAGATATGGAGATCCCTCCTAGATCAGGGACTGTCAGAAATGTGATCTGTAACCTAACCTATAAAGTAAAATGTACGAAATTGCTGAACTCTTACAAATCATAAACATAAACCATCTTTTGGATATGTAGCTAATGAGGATTTCAACTCACGGCTTTAGATCACGTGACCACCCTCGACCAATAACAGAAATCTCCAATTCACCAAATCTCTGTCGCACTAAAGGCACCTATAGTATTTTATTACTTACATTTTTTTCATACGCGTACATACCTCAAAAAACTCCGCAGTGTTAAGTGTAAACCCCATGGAATCGCTGCTTCAACCATATCTCTCCGTTGAGCATTTACTATACCTGCGGCTACATCTTTAGGGTTAAACACTGGAATTAGCGATGAAAATGTCGCATTTGCGCCCCTGCGTAAAGCAGTGTTAGTAATACACGGATGTATAAGAGTTGTCCTAATTTTGTTGTTCTTATTTAATGCCAGTTCGTTTTGTAGTCCGTCGATAAATCCTTGAACTGCAAATTTTGACGCCGAATACGGAACAAAATAAGGCATTGATATGATAGTAAAAATGGATGCCACGGAAACTATGTGGCCGTAGTTGTTTTTCAACATCGACGGTAATATTGCCTTTACGGTCTGATGAGTAACTACAGTTAATGCATTTTATGCGAATACTAATACATACCCAAAAGTGAGACATCAAATTAACTTGAATCATTTTTTCAATTTCTGTTGCGCTCAATTCGCAGAAGGGGTTGCCGAATAGTATCCCAGCATTGTTAACTAAGATGGTTACATTTCCTACCTCCTGCTCGATTTTGTTTATGATAAAAACAACCTGCTGGTAGTCACTTACATCACATCTAAAAATTAAATGTAAGGTCGTCATTCTTGGTCAAGCTATTATATAATTACGTGTAAGCGTATGCCTTTGCATATCCCAAGTTGGCAATCGTTCGGATCGTCTCTTCGTTTGCTTCTGCATTAATGTCAATGCATACAACAGTAGCTCCTGCAGATGCATAAATCAAAGCTACCTCTTTGCCAATCCCGTCACCGGCACCAGTTACCTAAGAAACACGAGAATGTAAGGAATGTGTGAACCGAAAAGACAACACACCAAAACAGTTTCGCCATTCACTGACTTCTTGGATTTTGGTATGATGTATCTATACAACGCTTTTGTCATTGCAAGAAGCGCCTTCAAAATGAAGAGAAGCGTTGCGATCATATTTGATATTAAATTCAAACTAGGTTTTATTCACCAGCGTGGCTCGCAAAGTAGGTGACCTCGTCTTATCGATAAAAGTATATATTTTTAATACTCCTCTAAAATGATTAAGAAATGTTGTGAGATAATTATGGTTGCGCATAATCGCGATTGCTTTCGTCACAAGTTGACATTATACTAGCGTTTAAATTTAAATGATTTTCCATACCTCTAAGCTCAAACATGTATTCTGAATCACTACTACATCATTACTGTACAAAGTGCAGGTGATTATTATAATTTTATGTTGCTCGATATGTCATTGAATAAACTAAACAAATATAGAAAACGAGCTCCTGGGTATGGCTATAGCATGTGCAAAACCAAATTTTAAACCTGGTGTTAGTTTTGCTTTTATTTAAAGTGTATATGTATGAAATTTCATTTAATTGCTTGCATAAATAAGAAAGTTGGCACTGCACATCCTGCACAAAACCAAATTTGGAAAATGGCACTACATTTGCTTTTATTCCAAGTGGCTATGTATCAAATTTCATTTGAATGCCTCCATAAATAAGAAAGTTGGCACTGCGCATGCGTAAAACCAAATTTTGAAACTGGTGTTAAATTTGCTTTTATTCCAAGTGGTTATGTATTTAAATCCCCCTATAAATAAGAAATTTGCACTGCGCATGCGCAAAACAATTTTGAAACTGGCGTTAAATTTGGTTTTATTCCAAGTGGCTATGTATCGAATTTTATTTAAATGCCTCCATAAATAAGAAAATTGGCACTGCGCATGCGCAAAACCAAATTTTGAAAGTGGCATTCAAATTGTTTTTATTCAAAGTGCATATGTATCAAATTCATTTAAATACCTAAATAAATAAGAAAGTTTGCTATCCGGTTTGTAAATGGTCGTGATGCCAAAAGGGTACTGGGAATGTTGATCGATGGAGCCCAATTTTTGGAATTGCGTTTTATATGACTAAACCTATACGCATATTAAATGTCATGCAATTCGGATCATAACTCAAGGAGATGTCAAAATGGCCTTCCTTATTTTTTGGGCTACATTCCCAATTCACGAACTCCGATCTACAAATTTGATAAAGAATCCACCTGCAAAATTTCATCGTAATCGGTCCATTCGTTTATGAGTTAACGTGCTAACGGACGGACAGACGGACAGACACCGCAAAATTATAAACTCGCTAGGAGCTCGTTAATAAATAAATCAATGTACGAGGGTTGTCCAGAATGTAGCAGACTCGTATTATAGTCATCCTTCAAACGAACAAAAGGCGTTGTGGTCGCTTCTAAAACCACCACAACGCATTGTGGTCATAACTCATAAGTTAACGACCATAACACGTAAAAATAATTAATTTTGGTGTTTGGTCATTTAGCTTTGGCCATAACGCGTTGTGTGCGTAATTTTCACTTATTGAGCGTTTTCGATATTTGTGCGTAACATAGAGGTACATTAAAAAAATGGAATGAATGAACTAGCGTTGTAGTGTCTTTATTTAATTAAGAAACTTATTGAAGGTTTTGTGTGCTTATGTAAAGACGATTTAACCATCTACATGCAACATTGCACTAAGTTGGTGTTTGTGGAAACCGAGCGCCAGTAGAATTTATAGACTCGCGCGCCTGAAACTCCATGCGTATTGTAGTTCGCTTTGTTTTTTTAGCGTAACACAACGAAGTTGAGGTAATTTTAGCGTAACACAACGAAGTTGAGGTAAAGCTTATGTGCTCGTGTTTCCGTCCGTACGTCCGTTCCATCGAGATCTCGGCCCCTGGGCCACCTAGAGACTTCGGGTTTTCGCTAATTGATAGCTGTTATGGTCTATATTTGCCCAAATCGATCAGTTTCATTTAACTCCATATTTTGCGCAATGCCAACTTTCATATTTATGGGGATATTTCTTTGAAATTTTAACCACAGACGCTTCTAGTAAAGATAAACATTTCGCGCATAGTAAAAAATTATGTGGGCATGCGCAGTGACTGCGCAATGCTAACTTTCTTATTTATGGAGATATTGCTTTGAAATTTTAACCACAGACGCTTCTAGTAAAGGCAAACATTTCTCACATAGTAAAAATTATGTGGGCATGCGCAGTGACTGCCAACTTTCTTATGTATGGTAATATTTCTTTGAAGCTTTATTTTACTTATTTAATTCCTCTCTTTCTCTGGACGTGTTTCAATATGCAGATTCGGCATTTTGTGACGATGCATCGTTTCAATACTTTGTGTTACGCGGCAATACCCACGAGTGGGTTTTGGAACATTTTTTTTATTCATACAGTGTTTATGAAAATACAATTAATTTCTTTAAGTACCTACCTGACGGTCATTCATTATACAGTGCGTTTATTTCATTTTCAAAATATAGCTGAAATATTTCCTATCAAAGCGAAATGTGTTTTTGAGAATGAAGGCCTTTTAACCATTTGCTTTACAGGATTGCCTCAAACCTCATTTACACACAGATAGTGTATGAGATTAAAGTGTGCTCGTGCTCAACATTTAATGCTTTACAGATGACAAAGATAGAGCAATAGAGAAGTAACATAATATAAGAGAAAAGAAAGAGTACGTGCCTAAAAAATGTGGACTAGCTTTTTGAGTCATTGAGGGTCACGGAGGGTAGGGTGTAAGAGTAACACAAGAAGCAAATTACGTATCACTTTACTAGGCTCATTTTAAAGAAATTAACCGTATCGTAGGTTAGTTCTGGTATCCGTTACGACAATCGTTCTCCATCTGCTTGTTCGCATCATAATTCCCACCCCATTAGCTGTTTATGGTCTAAGAGGGACTATACTTCAATGGCCAAACATCTCTCCCTTGCTCTTTCAGCTTTCCATTAGAGAAGGACCATAAATTCATCAATGGATTACGTAATTTTTATCCCGATACAAAACATAGTATTGGAGTAATATAATTCCATCGAAAAGTAGTGTGCTGAGACCAAGTCCAAATTTTGTGAAATTTCCGAAGACAGATATCCAATCATCTAAAAAATTTCAATAATTTCCTATCATTTAAGTTAATCCAATCTTACCGTAATTGTAGGAATCCACGCACATTTGGAGCGTACTGAAGAATCCTCCCACGATATCAAATATGACAGTGGTAATACTCACACCAATCACAGACTTGTGCTTGAAGTTCGCCAGTACTTGTGGTATAAAACGAATTAAGCTGGTCATTACTCCGGCGCTAGAGCAAAAATTCAAAAAGTCTAACCATGGAATACAGGCTTCCGCTGATAACAAGAACATCACTACGAACATTGCAGTTAGCAGTCCCAAGATCACTTTGGCCGTGATGGATAATGGCGGATTCGTTTTCCCTTCATACTTAATAAATTGTCCTACAATTACTAGCGACATAAAAGTACCATGTACTGAGTACAGTACGTCGTTTAATCGCACAGGAATTAAACTTCCCGGAAAACGGCGAAGGTACTCATCCTAAAATGTGGAAAAGCGCTTGTTACTGGCAAACCTTTCTTCTAATCTTACCTGTACTTCCTTAACAAGGTACAGGACCACGTTAAATAGTGCGTAAAAGGCGATGCCCAGGAATGAGAACACGAAATAGTCTATGTGGGGTCCTATGACACTGCAACAAACTTCCTCAGTCACACGTGGAAGATTACTGAGCTTACCTTTGTCGGAGATGGTTGATACGCACTTGAGGGTAATACGACATTGACCACGCGAAGAAATAAACCCATCCAACCATCATTGAGACTTTGCATAGATATTCTTTTTTGTAGACTATTACCGTCATAGACACAGTGTCTAAACTGGAAGATAAAGTTATACATGACGTTCTATTCCACAATCGACTTACGTACCCCGTGCCATTCGACAATTTGGCAACAACCTCGGCACGTCCGCCTAACTTTCCAACGGCTCTAAGGACGTAATTCCTTACTTTTACCAAACCCACACCGATTGACGATGGGATAATTTCAACTATATCTGCATTGTCGACCACAAAGTTTAATCGTGCATTTGACACGTTCACATTCCTGAAAATGGCAGTAAGTAAAGTTGCAGAAACTGCGAGGCGATACCTACCCACCTAACTTCAATCACAAATTTGTCCTCGGCGTACAAGGGAATATTCAAATCGTCCACCGAAATCGTAACTTCATTTTTTATATGTGGAAGATCTGGAAATTTATACATTACACGTCAGAATTATTTGTGGCTAACAATTACTGTTTGTTTAACTTGACGTTAATTAATATTTAGTGGAGGTAGGTACTTATCATAACTTATTATTACTCGCCTTTACTTTTAAGGGGGATACCAGTTGCTTGTATTTGTGGAAACTCAATTCTCAAGGTTCAGAAAATTATGCATCAACTTTGCGAAATTCGAATAAAATGTTATTATGTTAACGTCCAAACATTATCAAAGGTGTTATTTATATGAAATTGTTTTGCATGATATTCTATTTTTTGTTCCTTGGACAAGAAGCGAAAATCCAAAGTTCATTTTTATGTAAAACACACAGGCATTTCAATTCAAAATTCGGTTCAAGCAAGGTTGTACCATTGAACTCGTACAATGGGTAATAAAGGATGCCTAACTGCTCCTCTAGATCGTTTATTTTGTATTGCTGTCTGTCTGTCTGTCCCGTACGATACCTTTGTTTAGAAACGCCCGAACGCTCTGTTGGCTAAAGACTAAACTCTATTGCATGATGCCCAAGGAGTGATCCATATGCAGTTTTGGCAGCCAAAAGATATCAAAATATTTATTCATCAATTTTCTTGGGAAAAAGATCAAACTCGAGTACGCGATGACCAAGACTTTATATATGTGGATTTTTGGCGAGAAAATTATTTTTGCCCAAAAGATGTCAAAATCGTTATTTATGCATCCATTTTCTTGTGATCGCCGGAAAGAACAAGATACCCCCAGTTCGGAGGATAATAGAATTAGTGAGACTGCGGAGTATCGTCTCCATGGTTTCCCAGGGTTTAGAGTGGTACGGAATTGACCGTGTCCATCGGAAGTCGTCCACATCGGAGGACTTTTCAATCTTCTAAAATTGAAATACTATATAAATCACCTGGAAGGGTACATGCGTCGGTTTTGTTTCTGTGTTTTGTGTTTGCGTATTGTGCTTCGTTTGAAGAAATGTGTCTGTGACGGATGAAACCCATTGTTAATCTAATATGAGAAGTGCAGCAGTGTGAAATTCTTTCTCAATTTGCGGCTACATAAACGAGTTGTTGTCAGTCCTTGAGACATAGACGCGCCTCCTTTGCTACTTATCACTGCTTTAAGTTCCAGTGAACAGGAAACCAAGAAAAGGGGGGTTATTCCTTTGCGACAACATTTCAAAGAACCATATACAAGAAGAGAGACAACATTAGCTAAAGCTCTCCACACCATTATCGGCCACATCCCTCGTTGCAGGTGAAATTAATATGGCACCAGTATGTCAACATGCGGTAGAAAGAACTATTAAATCAGTGGCAATCTGGAGTATAAAGTTCGACTATTCATTTTATAGTCCAGACCTATTACCATATGATCTCCATATCATTGGACCATGCGAAAAGTCAGTCAGTACCAAAGTCATTGACGGTATGGGATTAATCTGACTTTAGCTTTAGTAATCATTTTGGAGAAGATATTGATAGCAATTAATTAATTTAACCGATAATCCTCAAAGTAGGTTGATAAATGGTGACTTGCGTAATATGGTAAGGTTTTAGAGTAGAGGGACTACAGGAAATATAGAAAAAATAATTCGTGTAGTTCCAACGATGCGTTTTTTTGGAGAAAAATATATAGCAACAAAGTTGTAGAAAATTATATGCGCTTTCGATTTCGATAAGAATTTTTTTACGACCCACCATTGTCGAGATATAACCGAAAAACCGCAAACTGTACCTTAAACTACCTCCCCTCCCTCCGGCGGCACCGAAATCGCTCCGGACTTTATTACACAATCATGAGGGGGCCTTCAACCACACATTTCCGAAAAAATTGGAACTACACGAATTATTTTTCCTATTTGCCGTTTTTTGGCATAGAATGACTGGACTATATTACTCAAAGGTCTATCGAGCAGGGACGTGCAGGGAAGGCTGCAAGACAAACTGTGAACTTTGGGGAACGAAATGTGGATCCCACAGGATGTCATGTTTGACGTTATTCGGTCTTAAATAGTAGCATCACAGATATACTCTTTACGTATATATGTGGTATCATAGACTATTTTTAGCGCATTTTTGAAGAATTAAAAAAAATGTGCTATTGTTGCGTTTTGTCCGTCCGTCCGTCCGGACCCGCTTCTGTCGTTTCGCACTACTTATAGCTAGGGGAATGGTCCTAGAGTCCTGGAATTTTTTGCAGTAAGTAGCCTAAGGTGTGCCAGACGGTCATCAAATTTCGCTCTTTAAAAGGCCCCCCCCCCACGAATTATTTCCTGAGATTTTGTTTTTGAAAGTAAAACGCGCATAACTCAATTACATACGACAACCAATTGGTCTCAGTTTGCATACGCATGTCTTTAGTGGTGCTAAGTTAAACTGTAGGAAGGGGGGGGGGGTGTTAACGCACATGTTCTATCTACCCTTCATGGTATTCTAATGAAAGGTCTCATCGAAATAAATTGGTTTGGTCAAACTATAACTATTCCCGTGCGACTCTTTTTCGAGATCAGTGAGCGACGGGGCCGGGGGGGGGGGGGGGGGTTAAACATTGAATTTTATCTCTCATGGGGGGGGGGGGAGTGGAACTAGTTTTATCCTTCATGGTACTCTAATGAAAGGTCTCAACGAAAGGAGTTAATTTCTACCAACCATAGCCCTCCTCCTCGATTTCTTATCGTGATCGGGTATATTCCCTTATACCTCAAGAACGGACTGTCGGAAGAGGGTACTCACAAAGGGCGATTGAGACGTCTGCAATGCATATATTCATTGGTGATGTCACAACAAAAGCTATTGCTGTTTATAAAAATCCACTCTATCTGCACAAGAGTTGTGCACAATGTTAGACTTGTTTTACTCTATGATCGTATGTATAACTTTTGCTCTTTACACTTAAATCTCCATAAATGATAATTCAATCAGATGCATTTTTATTATAAAGACTTGTTGCATAAATCAGAGACAGGATAATTAAATATAGTAAAAATTTGAAGTTAACGGCCTTTTAATGTTATACGATAACCAGCCGATAACAAAAGAAATGTAAACAAAACAATGCATCAGGGCATTTTTTGTTTAAAACGTCATTAAGAATAAATTTATTGTAAGGTAAACCAACAATTCTACTATAATCAACGTTGATTTGACTAATTGTTTGTGTGGTCACTAATTCCGTTCCGTTGCCGATTCCCATAATTTACGTACTAAAATGATTAAAACGTATGTACTGTACCTTCGCTTCTTTTGAGTACAATCTGCGGTAAATGATACCAATAGCAGTCAATGAATGTCATTTCGTCCACCCGTTCGTCTGCTTATTCGGATATGTGTATCTCAGTATCTGTAGTAGATGATCGACATGCCTTTACTTTTGTACAGTGATACCGGGTGCGTTATACTCATACTTTCTAGCTGTGGGGATCAGACGTTCCCCAGAATGTCCAAAATCATGAACTCTAGGCTAGGAGCTCGTCGTTAATAATAAGGAATTAGATGAGTTTTAATGAACGCACCGTACATTTATAGAAGTTACCAGCTTTAATGAACACCCGGTACTTCAACGAACTCAAACGGGCTTTGCCTTAGGAGAAATTATAGTTCCGGACCTATGTGTCTTCTAGGAGTTGGAAATAGAAGGTAAACGCCATTATTGTTTTAATTTGTAGCGCCGTTTTAGCCACCATAAGGGGATCGAGATGCCGTATCGAATTGTAAAGTTTGTAATTGTTTCCGTAGATATATGTAAATTATTTTTGTGGCATCCGCGATATCCCTCGGCATGCGGAAGCATGGAAGAATTAATATTTTAGTCTCCCAATGTTAAGCGAAAATGAACATTAAAATTGGATTGATTTACAATTGACTCGAAATAACATTGGGAATTACTGGGCTACCGAATTTGGAAATTTCAGTCCGGACATTTGAGTGAGCACATATACCGGTAGCTAGTCAAATGCATTGCAGCAAACTTCGTCTGATTAGATTGTGTCTAGTCTGAAGTGCAGCGCGCTTAATTAACTTGCATTTTAAGATTGGTCCTAGTTTTTTATGATGACAAGAAGTCAAGAAATGAAATAAAAAAGTTTAATTTTTGGACTTTATCACCCGACTACACCAGCTGAGCCGACAGGTTCCGATCGGCTACGGGGTTTGATTGCAGGCGAATTCTGGATAGATTAGAGTAAGATTTATCTGGGAACTGTGGAACAGAAGGCAACGAAAGAGCGGACGAGTTGGCATGCGAAGGCAATAGGGGGGTTTTCGTTGGGCCCGGGCCTACCCTAGGAAGTGTCTCCTCCTTCTTATCGGAGTCTCTGGGGAAATCTTTGTCTTTTAAGTTTCTAAAACTGAATAGATGCCAGATTAGGAAGGTCATCGGGGTCCTCACGGGGCACTGGATGGTCAACTATCACCTGCACAAAATTGGGCTTGTAGGGGAGCCCACGCACATGCTCTGTGGCGAGGCGGATGAAACTACCGAGCATGGAGTCTGCCTTGATCAGATCAAAATCAGCTCCTTGGTAACAACAATCTGGAACCGGAGACAGTGACGCAACTTAGGCTAAACAAAGTCCTATCCTTTATTGAGTGGCACGGGTTCTAAACCTAGTTGCAAAGAAAAAGGGGTAGGCACTGCCTAGTCGGACTCCCCCCTGTAAATATAATAGAATAAAATAGATTTCGAATTCCGAAGGGCGGAAAACTGCCAATAAGGACTTGCAAAATGTTGAGCTACCTTGGTGCATTGATGTGGCCCTATGAACCAGAACGAATCTTTCAGGTTTTTGCATTTCTCGCACAGTTCAACGATTTACGACATCTAAAAACCGAAACCTCTCCCAAAAAATACCTCATAGCGGAGTGTGCTGTAAAAACAGCGTTGTAGGCTTGTCGTTAGTTTGGAGTAAGCGATTTAGAAACTTGGATGTGCCTAATGCTTTAATCGGCCAATCAACTCTAATCGTAGTTTTACTATTGGAGGGACCAAATTGATTAAAATCTTGAGTACTCTAAGTCGGTTAGTTAGTGCTCAATCCTTTATCTTTATTGAGGTGAGATATATTTTCGTGCAACTGGTCCCAACAAGTTAATATTCAATTTTATCATCCACAAGCATGCGTAAATAAACTCTTCCTACACATCTACCGTTTTTTTATTTAAATTTTGTGTCCAACGTTCGTTTTAGAACTATGCAATTGTGTATTGCCTCCAAATGATCTAAATAATGTGTTTTAAAGTATCTACCCACCGACTTTGCAATTGTCACACTATCACCGCGTTTAACTATCACTGGTAGGTAACCCTTATCTGATAGTATTTTTTAAATGGAAATACGATATAAAGTTATTTTTCATAACCTACAATTTTTTTCATCTTGAATTCGGACAAAAAAATGTAGGAAAATTACGCACCTCCCAAAAAAACAGCTGTACGGTTGCTACAGAATGACGTTAACAGGCCATTTCCATCAAGTGTTTATCGTCATTATTCGATAGTACCTACCTACTTGAATTGCGAAAAAGCACGGGTCAGTTAACTAAAAATACTTACTAATGCAAATTATAATCGAAAACATCAACAATTGCGCAAAGCCCATTGTTTGTAAAACAAACCATTACACGTTCACATATCAATTTAAGTAGCCCAGTAGGAAAAAAGGCACCTATCACACCAAAGTGTAATTCATAACTGACGCTTTTAAGTATTTACTCAAATTGCTTTATCTTTCGTTATCATTGAAGTGAACTTTACTTTGTTAGTGTCATAAAAATAATTAACACACTACCGGAAATCGCACCGATTCACTTTCAGTGAATGCTCTTTGTCCAGTCGTTGTCTCTCTGTAGAGATTGGGTGCACTATAGACCTTCTCATGGGCCATTGTATACAAGCTCCAAATTCCAAAACGATTGGTTTGAATTTAAAAGAAATTGGAATGGATTTGATCTTCAAGTGATAATTGGGGCCGACAGTTGTCTATGTTTTGAAATTGCCTCTCGTAGTTTACAATCAGTCTTTCCCTTCCTGTGTAATTATAATTTTTTGTGACGATTATGTGCATGTGTGATCAACGTGATTGCAACAATTAATTACAATAAGATGAAGTGAAGAGTGTTCTTTGAACAATTTAATTACCTACGTCTAAGTAATTTTCTTACTAAGTACAAAAACTGGATACATGGTTACTCACGAATCACGATACCCATTACCTTTCTTGAATCTATAATAGGTTAAGATATTGCAATTTGTATAGCTGTGGTCAAGAATATGTTATCCTTCTTTCATGCAGAGATAATATTTTAAGAGCATGCTATGCATACATACATACATGATACATTACGTTATGTATCTTTTTAAATGGACCACATCAAAGCATTAGAGAATTTAGAAAACAAAAACTGGTAATGCTCTATTAACAGGAATCAATTTTATTTTTAATAGTCTTTCCCACATACTATAAAATACGTAGTTGAAGGTACAATTAGGAAACGAGACTTAATAGGAAAACGGTCAGCTATCAATTCGGTGATCCATCGTGCTCGAACCCTCTCCAATAAGGGTAACCTTCGGAACGTCATCATTACACTTAACTAATTAACAAAGGTTCTCACAGGAGCGAAATCCGCACTTCACCCCAAATCCTCAAAACACCGAGGAAAAGTCGCCAGGAATATCGCTTTCTTGCCCGCAAAAACCGCGAGGGCATTGAGTTCTTCAAGCACCCAAACAATCAACCGCTTTGGAAATCTGTCATCCGATTTTTTCGCCAATTTCTCCTGACGGAATAGGTTTCAATTGCCAGGTTTAACCATTTTCTCTTCAGTGTTCCAACATGTGCAGTATAGTGAAGCTGTTCCCGTTCATTTTTATTTTTGATTGTTATTTTGTTTTTTGTCCTGAAGAAGCCCCTTATGAAAGTGAGCGAAACGTCGACTTTTCGTTCAACATTGACACGGTCCTATCTCGGAAGTCGCTTTTATCTTAATAACTATGGCCGTGGAAGCCTTAGCTCTGATATTAAATTAACACGGTCCCTAAATAGATTCACTAACATCAGTTCAATTAAGATTTATCACAATCACATTTATCACATGAAAGCGAATTTCATTATTACTTACGTATCTATTTGCATCGATGTTAAGACTGATTAAACATAATTCAATGAAATTTCATAGAAATATCTCGGAAATAATGAATCACATCACATCTTTTATCGACTTGATGGCGCCGTAACGTGTTTGCAAAATTCTCTTAAAATTGTAACGTCGTGCACCACGAACGACGCTGTGTCGGAGGAACTGTCCTAGGTTACTCTCGTTCTATCACGATATTTGGATGCTGGTACCTTGATGACCCATCGTGCATCTTACACTTCTCAAAAAGAAGCAATTTGCTGCGTTTTGTGAAATAGTTGCGAGGTTCCTGGAGTTGTTGTTTTAAGTTTCATAATCCTCGTAAGTAAGCCGTAACAAAACGAGTCGTTTGTTACTTTTTGTAACGAGATAATAAAGAACTCGTGCCCCTTTGGCGATACAAACAAGCAGATCTGCGACCTGACCCTCATACTGCACTTTCATTCTATCGCTAGCTAACTGCATATTATGGCGAAGTTGATCACAGATGGCACCCAGCTTCTGACGCAGATTTTTCACATACCTACTCGTTCTCCACGGTTTTTCCTTGGTCGGGTGATGTACCAAATTTCAAATCACCGAAATTCCCGACCAAACAACAAAGAAGTCTGTCCTGTGGTTTCATCCACTCCAGAACGGTTACTTCCCCATTGTCATATTCATACGTTCTACCATTTCATCTGTGGTTCAGCTCTTGCGAATAGCCCCGACCCAAAATTGCGTACCAGGAGTATCTGCCAAAGTATTTTTATCAAAACATCTGCAAGAGCTGCTTAGAAATCTTAAAATTCTCACCATCCTACTAGATTTTTTCCTAGAAATCTTAAAATTATCTTAGGAACACCCTTTGGGTCTTTAATTATAGTCGATTTAAGGCTAACGAAAATGTTAAAAAAATCTTCTTAGGAATTTCACTAAAAACTACTATATGATCAAAAATGAGTTGTTGTCAAGTCACCTTTGGAATTTTTGTTTACATGGGGGATCATACTTAACTTGAACTTCCAAAGGCGACTCGAAAGCAATTTATTTTTGAACACATTTACTTGGACCAAGTTTTTGGGTATTATAAGTATGTATCTCTTAAAAAATCTTCAATATTTGTGGTGCTGGTGACATATACCTATGGGTAGGGAACACACTTACACCTGAAAGAATGGCAGCATGGAAAAAAATACGAAACGCTCTGTGTATATGGCAATCGTAATATCTTCGAGATTATGAACAGGCATTTTAGCAGCGAAGGTTGGCAAAAGTTAGCGTTGGTCATGGTCACTAGATTTTCCGAGTAACGGCACGCGTGCCCGGGTTTTTTCAATGTCTATTTTGTTAGTGATGTTTTTGAAAGTTTAATTACAGCTTTGAATATTACATTCAAAGATTACAGGTAGTAATCATTTTCTTCTTTCTCGTAATAACCATCAATCTTTGAATCTCATGTCACTATTTGTTATTGAAGCATTCCGTGCTCCAAGCTTTTGTTTTGAGTACCGTTACAGTATAAGTATATAACGTAAGAGTTCTATTCGTACCACCCAGTCGGTGCCTATTTGAAAAAGGTGCGAAACGTCGCAACATTTCGATAATAAACCCTCTCAATAATTTGTATAAGTCGGCGTCCCTGGTATACCTAGGCTTCTAGTTACTGTACCAGTTTGTTTTTTGCATGGCCGCGTCTGAAAATGTTATTTCCTATAATATAGTCGTAAAAACAGTGAAAAGTATTATATGAAAATTCTCTCAAAAATAAACCAGGACGTATCCTTTATTAAAAAATCTATTTAGTAGGTTTTATAAATTTGTACCCAATGTCGCTGAGTACAGAAAGGCATACGTACCTATGCTTCTTTCCCGCCATTCCACCCACTATGAAGATTGCGTGCTAGTACGCAATGGTTTGTGCCAGGTAACATGACTAAGTTGAAATGAATCGATATAATTTGGCGATATTTCGTATTTGCAATATATAGTCTACATAAGTAGACTATTCTGCCATCTTCGGAAAGAAGGCAATATCTCCACAAATATTACTTACGAGATAATGCAGAATTTAGTAGCTGAGTCACCATGAAAATATTTATGGATTCTCAAAATTTTTAACTTTTTGTAGTTCTGCTTCTTAATATAAAATATAGTGTGAGGAATATAGAAAGAGGAAAACCAACGATTTTTGGGAGATACACCTTCTTGTTTTGGACGGCAGTATTGCAAGGTAGCTAAATAAATAAACACAAAAACTTTATTTAGGAACAATAAAGATTATGGATTTTTAGGTAATGCACTGTGAAGTTTAATTTACAATATTTTTTATTGTATTTTGAAATCTTCAATGTTGCTTTTCTATTTTAACACTGCGCACTGGCATTTATTTACGTTTTTCTATTTTCTCTCTTAACAGTTTTGTTTGTATTTTTTTCATTACTACTTATCATCTTCATCCGTGTCACACTCATCATGATCTGGGAGTGTTGGCGCTAGAATGTTAGTATAAATAAATAAACTTTTATTAAACTTGACAACAAAAAAAAGTTATCACAATATAGTATATGCACCGCCATAGGCGATGGCCTCAATAAATATGATATTCAACAATACAAACATTCTTAAAATAAAAAAATTAAAACTATTTACTTTCTTCATAGTTGCAATTCTTGTATAAAAGGTAATGCTGGATCATGAAGAATATGTCGAAAATTACGGAAAATAACCCCAATCCAAATTTAGTAGGATCTCCAAATATTGACACCCAGTCATCTGAAATATGATACGTTAGTAATTGGGTACAAATAAGAAAACCTTTACTATAATTATAGGAATCCAAAATCATCTGTAACATGCTCAGTATTCCTCCTGTGAAATCGAGCAATATATTTCCTATACTCCACCCCATTGTACTTTTACGCTTGTAGTTCATGTAGGCCTAAAACTTGCGATTAAACCACTAATTGAGAATAATACCGAATCTTCACCTGTGGTATGTATTTTATCAACGTGATGCTTAGTTTCACATAAGAACAGTAGTACAGAAAATCTAGCCAATGAATTACATTAACAGATGATAGTACGACGCTCACTGCTATAAATAGAGAGTAAATTCCTAGAATAATTCTTGCAACCATGGACACCTTCTGATCGGCCCTTTCATAAAGAAAACATTGAATTATGGTTAACAAAGTGGCGGCAAATGCGTGGACGGCAAAGACAATGTCGTTAACTTTCACAGGATTTAGCCCTCTTGGATATCTTTCGAAGTACTCTTGCTGAAAAGACACACGTGTAAATTGCATCCTATTTTACCGTGGAACTTACCTCAATTTCTGGAACGGCAAATAGACCAAGATTGAAGACGCTGTATAAAGCAAATCCCACAATATTAAGTACTAAGAAATCGAAGTTTAACCCAACGACGCTGAAAAAGTTACGGATTTAGAGATGGGAAAATGGGAATATATGCACGTACCTTCTTCGTTTGTAGTTTGTGTAGATTTGTGGATAAAATGAAATCGACCATGCTATGAAATAGACCCATCCAATGGTGAATGATAGAATATCCAGAATGTTGCTTTTGTAAACTTTTACTCTCATAAATGCATGGGCCACGCTGAAATTCCACCGGGTCACATGAAAAAATCCCAATATTCCAGTACTTACTCAATGTGTGGGTTCGTCGAATTTACAGCGACTTCACTATGTCCTGCTGACGTTCCGGTTATTTCGATCTTGTAAGATGTTTGGTTGGCCTGCAGCGCTACGTCTGTAGGGATAAGCTGGAGAATATCATTGTGTTGTATAACTAAATGTACTGTAGTGTCTGAAATATTACTAAAAATATGTATCAAAACAACGTCTAGAGGTGGAGGTGCGGATACTCACGGAGGGGTTCTTAAACTAAATGTTAGCTGCTCGCCCAACTGCAGTGCAAGATGGTCGTTTGAAAATGTAAGAATATCACATTGTGTTGATTGCAATACTGTAACAAAAGATTCATTTCAGTCATCGTCGTAATTTGTATACCTATGCAATAGGTAGAAAGAATACGCTAAGGTTTCACCTTGAATTCAAAGTTATGATTCAAATAATTGATTTACCTACCAATCAATTACAGCATTAACGTAAGTCTTTGTTTTGTAAATATATACTTGGAAACGAATTAATGTAGTGGTGCAGATTGTGTACGTCTTAATTACATGCGTCATGCAAATGTATTGACAAACCAATAACAGTATTAAATTGTAGTAGTTCACGTAACACGAGTTAAGTAATTTAATGTAAGTGTACTAACAATGTTGCAGATAGAAAATAATTGAAATGGACTGAAATTGCATGCAAGAATCGACAGAACGCGATCAGGTTATAAGAAGTAACCATACAATTTTACAAAGTCCATTCTCCATACCTTGATCGACATGATAACATCCACAAGTTACAAATAAACTGTTTCAAACCAATATATACAACGACTGACTAAATGACCAAAATTTGATCAGTTAGTCCCTTGACCATTTTAAAATTCGATACCGTACGCTAGTTGTCATGTGCACAGACGCACGGACGAACAGACAGAAAGGCCAAAATCATGAACGAGCTGGGTCGCTCGTTAATAAAGAAGATATGGAAGATAAAGACACTCGTTGGAATTACTAAAGAATCTGGCAGAATAGGAATTGACTAAGTCCAGAATCTTATTTACTGGTGCCAACTCAGAATATTTAAAAAGCGATTCCATAAAATCAAGAAACATTTGTTTTGCCAACATCAGCCGCCCGTGATTTCCGGAAAACGACATAAATTGTAATGCCATTGTGATGCCCGTCGTACACAAAAATGCGAGCAAAAATGTAATTGCACATAACAGTCAACATAGCTAAAAAAAAACTCAAATTTAATATTGTGGTGATTGCGTAACGAAGCACCTGTTTTGCGCATTTAATTTACGAGACACTCACCCAATCGAGCGCTTCATTATCATATAATGAATCTTCCAAGAGGTGGCAATAGAGTGTAGAATTAATTGCTTTAATTTGTTCCGTCATTCCGATCGATAGTAAAAACCGAATAGGTGTTGTAACCGTTCCCGTGGGGATATTTAAATTATTTTTGCAGCACCCGAAGGCTCTCGTCATTTGGAAGATGAGGGAAAATTAACATTTTATAATTTCAATTCCGTGTATGAACTAGTCGCCGATTGGAGTGCGTTTGGTGTTATTTATTATACCAAATAGCCTATACAGTGTGAATCGGAACTGCATAAGATCAAATGATATGCAATAAAAAGAGTTTATAACAAGTGGCGGAGTCCTAACGGAAGTAAAAAGGAGCATGAAGAAACTATGGGTGGGGTACAGTCGGATGGTTACTACAGCAGGCGGTGTGTTTGTCACAGAGAAAAAAAGTAAGGAGGTTACAAGGTATAAATGTAGCGGGACAAGGAAAGATGAACTCGACATTCATCAGGCGCGAATGGAAGCAGCGACTAAATTATTCTTTATCTAAAAAAATACATTCCTCGGGAGAAAGTAAGACTATGTAGACCCATATTGAGCTATGCTAGAGAGAGTTGGGTGCTGAACGAATAATAAAAAAAGGTTTAGAAATGGAAGTTCTGATTCAGACCTTAGATAGGCAAAAATTAAAATGGTTTGAACACCTGGGACCAATGGAAAACAGTCTGCTTGCGTCATGCGTACGGAAACTCGAATTCAAAATAGGATGAAAAGAGGAAGACCAAAGAAAACATAAGGCGTTCCAGTATAGTCAAATGGTATTTTATACCGACAAGAAATAGGTTTTCGTTTGAAGGATTAAAAGCTATGGTCATTTGGAAAGTATTATACACAAAGATATGACGCAAAATCGTGATTCAGCGATTAGTAACAACCAATTTTTCGTAGCAGAACAAATTTGAAGACACTGTGGCCAAATTGCAACTAAACTCGATACGGGCTGGAATGAAGGACAGACTCGTGGTCGTGCCTTGATCTAAGGACAGAGACCTCCGATAAAGATAAAATAAAAGACCTATGACAGAAAAATGCTGTCATGTTCCAAACGAGAAACCATTGCAACTACTTACTCGTACCCGAAGAGAAACATTTCTCCATTGATTTTGAAAATGTACGCCGATCAGGAACTAAAAGAACTGCACCCACACTCAATAGGACCACAACTAAAAAAGGAAAAAAAAGTTAGCGTAAACATCCTCGAGTCTCCGCAAGCAAGCCTTCATCAAGCATCTGATGGGCAAGGACAGCGAAGCCCAGCCAAGCCAATCTCGACAACGCCGAAAATCAGAAATCATAAGGTAGTAACCAAGCGCTGCTATGAAGATTTACACCACAAGGTTCCATCATCTACGCAAGATGGCGTTAACATAAAAAATGGCTCGCTAGTGCAAAAAAAGCATGGTCAATGTCTGAAAAATATCATCTCCCCAAAATTTGTTTGATGAAACACGGATTAAACTATCCATGTTCCAAAAATTGGAATTCTTTAGCAATGATTTTTTTCTTCTGAAGTATATTTTATTAGTGATACTGTTTTACATGATGATAATCATGATATGCAGAGACTGCGATAAATTCCACGCCTTGGAAAAATGGCTGGTGTCAATTTTACCCACACCAAACATGTTGAAATTAATACGTTGATCGTTATTCAATGATTTAATAGAGCACACAATTTGTAAAAGTGTAGTCATCACAGGGCTACTACATAAATTGCTCGTGCGTTGGAGGAACCCATCAGCCACGTCCCCGGGTGGTTGATACGGAGACTCCCAGACAGACACCTGAATGATTGTAAAGTGTCTCGTGTTTCGGTTACGAGGATAAGTAGCTCGTCGGGGCTACTACCCAGGCTGGTCCGCCTGGTAGTGACGAAGGTCGTCGCGGCGGACCAACCTCTCAAGACCCAGGATTGCGTGGAACTGGGGTCTAGAGTCGATAACAGTGCCCCTCGAACACCGGGCGACCTCCTTTAATTCGGGAAAAGGCACGCTCAAGGAATGTTGATGCCAGTCGTTGTTTGCGTCAGGATTTGCCTAATCTCCGCCTTGTGTAAACCTCGCGCTTCTTGCCAACATTTAGACAATTTTTAAAAAATGAATTAAAAACAAAATTAGTAAAGAGGGGGTACGCAGATGGCAGGAAGGAGACTATGAAGGTGACATCCTTGAGAGTGTTATATATATGTAAATAAAGGCAACTTAAAAATTCATAAGTGAAGAATGTAAAATTTAAAAAAATGGAATAAATGTATTGAATTATATGTACGTAAGCAAATAGCGTAAAACAAATTGTAAAATGTAATGATTTAAAAAAAGCAAATCGAAAATAAGTACATATTACCTTCCTTCAAATTAAAGTGGAAAAAAAAAGATAGCGAATAATTAATATTATCTAAAAATGTTCCATGGCCATGGAATTTATTTGACCTTATATCAACAACAATCTACAATTTGAAAATAAGTTCATGTACTTTCTGTTGTAAATAATAAACATTCGCACTCACGTTACGATATCAAAAAACTACAAGGATCAATTCATCCGAAAATAGCATGTGGTTCGATACTGCATCTATTGCTCTATAGTCCGCCTCACTATCACTTTGCAGTACAGGAAACACTTATAGGAGTTTTTGGCGTGGCGATACGGTTTTAATAGACTCCAAACCAAATTCGCCCATTTTCTTCTGATGACATCGTTGTTGATCATAAGACCCTGTACTGTAAAGTCAAGGTGAGACGGACTATAGCTCTAAGGCCAAGCTATTTTTAAATACATTTAAAAAATACGTGAAACTACTTTACCTGTAAGAAGTATAAGCGCTCCGCCAATAATTTTTCTTCTGGTGTGTAAAGGATACATCTGGATCTAAAACGAAAAGATCAATTAAAATAAAATAACTTGAGGAAATATGAATCGGTGTATAGCGCAAAAATGTTCAAGTTTAGTAATACCAAAACTTTTAACGATAAAAATTCTATTTACGTTATTCACTTAAGGTAATGGCCTCTCAGTGATAACACTGAGGTAAAAGAGATGCTCGCAAAAAATAGATTATAACAAGTTTCCTCTCGTATGTTATGTGTTGTATCTGCACAATGTATCGTATATAAGTACAGAAAGTAAATGATTCAGTGTCAAACACAAGTACTTTATTATTACACCCACTTAGATGATAAGATTATTTCAAGTACAAAATAAGATATTTTTTGCAAAATAAGAAAAGTTTATTACTCATTAATAGTACCAAATTCCCATTATGTTTTTTCTTTTATGTTCGCAGAAAGGCTGAAGGAAGGTTAAGCCATATAGTCGTGTAACTAGAGGTATTCCATTGCTCTTTAGGATTTTAAAAGTCATCTCGCCTCCAGAACAACTAGCCGCAAATCAGTATGCCTAAATAATTCAAAAAAAGTAAAAAAAGACAGTATCGAATTGGTTTTATTGAATATTTAAATGACAAATGGAATAAGAAATTCGAAAGGGGACAAAGAAATTGTTTTCAATAATTCACGATAATTGTGAAATTGAAATATCTAAAACTGGCTGGTAAATTACCAACATATTTCAGCAGCAAAATTATCAGGATGTTTTAGTTAAACCTAAGAGCATGGAAAAATAAAAATCGTGTTTGAAATGAATCTATATCTGGAGTGCTTCTGAAAAATAACATAAGTATAACAATGTTCCACATGTTAATCTGTAGATTGCTGACGTAATTGAGATATCCGGTGCTTGTTTTATTTTTTTCCATTGTGTAATGCTCAACGGGTCCATTTCAAGGACAAATTTGAATCAGAAAAATCAGAAACAGATCAAAACGCTACAGAGATTTAGTACTATTATAATACCAATATCAACAAATGAAACTCAACATGTAAATATATCAGCCGGAAAGTAACAGATTAAATTATCTGTAATTTATGCATATACGTAGATAGAAACATTCTTCATGATTATGCAAGATACCTACATAAATAATATGGAACACATAAAATGCAAGGTCTTATTATTAATGAGCGATTGCAGTGATTGTTGGTCGGGGAATTAAGTAGCAAAAAATGTATTTGCTTTCAAGCGTGAAGAAAATGCCAGCGTTGAGTATGAAGATTACGTTAAACCTTCAATTTTATTATACGACTAAAACACTGTGAAATTAATTCCTGACATTGGGCAGCTTCTGTCCAAATCTTGCCACTTTTTCGTCATTATCTTTACGCACACATCTTTTCTTCTGCTTTAAAGAACAATCATCTGCGATCTTGAAGAAAAGAAGGATAAGAGACAAATTTAATTACACCTTGCAGTGCAATTAAGTGGGTGCATTTATTAATTTGCAATTGTGCCTACACCAAATGATTAATCTACTTTATCAGATTAAAAAAAATTCATTGAATTTGGATTTTCTTTAAACTTGTGGACCGGTGTCTGAGAATATTGACACGTAAAAGAAAGTCATCCGAGTACATTAAGGGACACAAACCGCGCATATGCAGAGGAACTGAGGACGCTATTATCAACAAATCCACACCTTGACATCAGTGAAGTTGAAACCATATAGATCCAGTAAAGCAAATCCATCTACATATTGCGTACCGTTGTCCATTCCCCTACTTTATATTACCATACAAATTTTCTCCTAGGGGTATCCAGTATTTAGTCAATTTCTGGGGAATCGAGGCAAGCTTCGAATAAAATTAATTCGGGACACAGTAAAAGATTTGGTTTCTCTTGTGCTCCAATCGCCGAGAATGGAATATCTTAAGGTGGCGTTTACATTGAAAAGTGGAAATTTGTTTCTACAATAACTTCCTTCTGGGTATACAGTTTTGGTTGAAATAACATTCATTCAAATATATAAGGTTCCGACATTTGCATGAAACAAAAATTATTTAGCTAATTCCTGTACTTTTCGCCGTTATTTAGGAAAGAAGTTCTTAAAAAAACCCCCATATAAAATATATATCTTTCATTTTTATCACACACTGATTATAATTTGTTATCAAATTTAGTTATTGAGGAAATCGCAAGACAACTTTTGCACTTTTTGTAAACGCCACCTTAAGGATATCATATCAATGTTAGTGTGGGCGGTTGAATAGCCCTTTTAATTTTCTTTTATGAATTTAAACAGTTGAATTTTCGAGTAAAGATTTTACAGTCATTTTCCATTATCCTATGTACATTTTAATGGAACTTAACTGCTAAGGCGTACAAATGTGTTAAGGTAGTAGAATCAAGTCCATTAAATTACAACAGCGTTAAGCTAAGATTATTATAAAGAGAAAGTCAATTTAGTTGTAAAGGTAATCACGTAGGTAACGAGTTTAATATTAATTTGTCGGCCGGTTTTTCCCCATCCCATTTCTTTCTCGGTGAACTACCATTTTCAAACGTTATTCTTGCAATGTAATTTATTTTGATTAACCGTTTTTAAAGCATTGTACCCACTCGTTTTACTTGTGTATCTTACTTGATCCTCACTCCGACAAGCAAGATTTAGAGATAAGAACAGTTTGTGTTCATCTGAATTTCCCCAAAATTAAAAAGTAATTCCAAAAATGTTTTAATCAATGGCAATATGGTTTAATCGCTGCACAAAGGGGAGCACGTTTGTAAATATTTTTTATGAGTGCATTTTGAATTTCATTGCCTAATAAACCTTCCCATCGATACTGGTGAAAATTTTGTATTTCCCCGCCACAAATGATTTTGTGCTACGCGCAGTTTTGCGATTAGAAGCCCGTTTTCCGAGCGAAGGCAGTATCTGTACAACTTGCAATAAAGAATAGTAAAAATCTAATTCTCATTTGAAATTTTAAGGTTTCGTCTTCCAATTGCGGTTTGGCACCTTGAATTTCCACCAGATACAACTAGGAAATAATGTGACATACAGCTAACGTGTTACTGATGATGACAGTATATACTGAGATGTCTAAATTTCCTAATTTTATTAATGAACTACGTTATTTAATATCTATTTAAAAAGTCGAAGATAAAATATCGCAATGTAAATTTAACACAACAGCTATTGTGACACGTGGATCATTTGCAATATTCGCCTCCGCTTGGTGTCACAATGGATACACTAACTGTACTCGTTAAACCGCGCACTATTCATAAAATTAAAATTACCTTCAGAAACTCTATTAACCATTCCAGGTAATGATTGGTAAAACTCATAACTTCGCAAAGTTATGAGCAAACAGCGCAATTTTAAAATTCCGTGCGGTTATCTACTACATGGAAACTATTACGATAAAGTACTTGAAACGTGCATTCTCCTTGTTACAATTACCAGCTATTGATTTTTGTGCATTTGTAGGTAGGTACCATAAACTCAAACGATCTCTAACTCGTAAACTTCCATAATAACTCACTATTGCATTTTTGCCCAACGTCCCATGGCGGAATAATTGATTTAAAACAAACTTAATTGACATCACATTATTTCACAAAGCGTTTTCATACCCGTGAAATTAACAATAATACAGATTACGTACGCGTATCAAGTGGGAAGAATTTAGTGTTCCCACACACCATTTTCACGGCAACGTACGAATTATCTTAATCTCCATGACGTACCCAAAGATAAATTTTATTATTTTATTTACTACGGCAATTGATTATAATTTGATTAGATTTGGCAACATTTTCCCTGGTCTGTTTGAAAAGCGGAATTAAAGCGAGGACGATCCAAATAAGCAAAAATCAATGAGTGACGACAGTCTGTTGCGATAAAACCGCTAACGTCATAAGCCATTGTGTCACAAATTGATGTTTTGATGATATGAATTTTTTGCAAAAGTGGGGAATCAAATTCATTTTGAATGGATAATTTTAATGCGTGTGCATTATGCTAGTGAGATGAAATCTTTTGCCCAAATTTAAGCGGTGTAGGGTCATTTATTGCCAATAGACAATACAGTCCACAATTTAAACTAAATGTACCTAAAAGTTGATCTACTGCTGTTTGCGCTAGAGATGACCTTTGCGTCACTAGTACTGTGAATCTTATGCTCTACCAATGTTGGATGGAGCATATGCTGGGAGAACTATACACTGTGTCCTAGATAAGAATGTTTACCATACGATGGTCAAATTAAGAAAAAGTGGAGACAAGATTGGGCTTGTGGAGGTTCTGTGGCGAGGCAGATGAAACTACCGAGCATGTGGTCTGTCAATGTGACGCCTTGATCAGACACAGACATCAGCTCCTTGGCGACAGCTATCTGAAACCGGGGAGGGTGAAGCAACTTAAGCTAATCAGAGTCCTATCCTTTATTGAGAGGAACAAGCTCTAAACCTAGTAGGGGAAGATAAGGGGGTAGACACAATGGGCCTTTGGTGTGCCTCGTTGGGCTCCCCTGTGAATAGATAAGATATATGAGACAAGAGAACTACTCCCGGATTTTAAAACATGCATCACAATACCGTTGCCAAAAAAGGCAAATGCATTTAAATGTGAGCAATATGGAACGCTCAGTTTGGTTACCCATGCGTCTAAAATCCTCACCAGCATCATAATGAAAAGAACAGAAAGAAGTATAGACGATATTTTGACTGATGATCAGCTTGGATTTAGGAAGGGAAGAGGTACGAGAGAAGCTACCTTGGCCCTTAGAAATGATAAATGAAAAGAGCTTACGAAAAGGTCAGGATACCTTCATAACCTTTATAGATCTTGAGAACGCATTTGAGAAAGGTGGTTTGGTATAAGTATAAGGAAGAGTGATATGCGAGGAACATTAAGTTGAAGCCGAAATCTAACAAGGAGCTCTCACTCCGTTTTTCAATGGTTTCATTCAAAGGAGTGGGTAAAGAAGTAGATAAAATGAAAGACCGAGGGGGCGTGAAAGTTCAAGAAAGAAGCATAGAAAGAGATAGACGAATTTCTCGAGGAAATGGATAGGTCGTACGAGATGAAGATCAATCAGTCAAAAACAAAAATCATGGTAATTAGTAGACACGGTGCTCGCTGAGCGTCTAGAAAACGTAAACTCCTTTACGTACCTCGGAAGCAAAATATATCGGCTGGGAGTACAAAAACAGAGATAATAAGCCGAATAAGCCGTCAACAACAAACGGAAAGTGTTTACCTCCAACAATACTGAGTTGCACCTCGTTTTGTTGTATGGAAGTGAGACTTAGACACTGAGACAGACAAAAAAGGGCGATGGAGGTAGAAATGTGGTGTTGAATGTTAAAGATTCCCCGGGTGGCCAAAGTGAGAAATGAGGAGCTGTTTAGGAGGATCGGAAAAGATAGGCCTTGTCTGTAGAATACTCTGAAAAAAAGAAGGAACCCTGGATTGGACACATTCTAACACACGAAGGTTTGCTAAAGAGATTACTGGAAGGAGTGGAAGGTACCAATGCCAGGGGTTCAGCATCCAGGTTAGAATTGCAATGCGTGCATTCATTGGAAGTGAGCTCTATATTTAATTTACAGATAAATTTTCTGTTCTACTAAAAAATATAATTGTGAAAATTTCTCACCAATAATTCAAACAAAAAACACTAAACTTTGGTTTGTTCTAAAGGCTCACTCGGTGTTAACTTCTTGTTTTATTAACTATCAAGTTTGATCACTATTAATATCAGCTAATTATCCACTGACACATACTTTGCGCACCTGCGCAACTTTAGTTCTAGTCTTATCATGCTATAAATCATTTCACTACAATACATACGTACTATTATTCATAATGCGATTGCTACATTCTTCAGATATAAGTTTCAGCACTTTTTGTACACACATTCGAGTCGGTATAATTTTGTTTATTGATGTTCTGCGGTCATTATTTACTATCGTTATGAGAAAATATTTATACCTTCCCCATTATTTACTATTTATTTAAAAATTTGATGAGCTCTTATTTTCATGAGTTACTCGTGAAGTGTCTAATATTTTTGTTGCTAATGTTTTTATAATACTTACAATATTGGATTTGCTTTTTTATTGAACACGACTAAAACGTAAAATGTTTCACGTCACACGTGGTCGGTTGCTTTGTTTCACTTTCCACCGTTATACTGAGATGTAACTACAAATTGCTGTTGTTATTTTACAGTGTACAATACGTTGCTGAAGGTAAACACGTGAGTTTAGTTCTAAAAGCTAAAACAATTGAAAATATTTTAGCTGGAACGGAATCAATAAATGACCCTTACATATAGGTAGGTACACTGTTTCCAAGATAAGGATGTCTATCACGGGGATCTCGGAGCCATAGAAGAGGCGACGATGGTCAAGTCAGGAAAAAGTAGCGCAATGAACGGGTTATAAGCATACAGTAAAAAAACCTCAAAATTCCAAGTATTTTCGAAGATATGCCAGAAAAACCGAAATTTGGCGATTTCATTATTATTTTTTATAGGGCCTGCGAAAAAAGTCCGCACTGTATTGAATAGCATTTTCTTCTTACGAATACAACGATGTACGGTACAAAAAAACAAAAGTCGAAAACTCTGTTTCAACAGCATGGTGCACCCGCTCACAGCGCCGTAATCGTGCGAGAGCGAGAATACATATCGGACAATTTTTCCATTTTCCATTTGTCCAATCCAATAGATATTCTCACACTATAGAGCGCTGTGCGCGGGTGCACCATCCTGTTGA